CGCATAAGACGACATTTTTCATCTTGAAAGATATAAATGTACAGAGATGTTTTAAAGATATTCCTATTATATAGATTAACTAGGTCGGTTGTGAACATTGTCTGTTCTTATGTCATTGAGTACTTGTGGTGTACATGAGTTCTGTAGAGAGAAATTTAAGTTAGTTTAGCCCTTCTCATGTCCTTCTTCAGTTCTCGTAAATATGATATATCGCTCAGTGAAATATTGTTGTTCAAATAGTTCCTGAGTGGTTTAATAATTATGAAATCAATTAAAACACCAACCCACCCCGCTTATCATTGAAGTACACTTTGACCCCTAGAAGTATGAATTCGCGGACTGTACAATTCTTGGTGATTTTGCGTATGTTTATTTATTTATCTATGTCCTCAACCCTACCCTGTGCATAAAAAAAATGTTTGGCAATTTCTGTTTACAACTACTGTTTACAACTACTATGTTGAACAAGTTAAGAAGTTTTAGTGTTCTAATGTAAGCCGTTTTTCAGTCATTCAGAAGAAACCACAAGGGGGGGCCCCCCCCTCCCCCAATCGTGATAGGGTTAAACATAAATGATTTATCAAATACACATAAAATTGCTTTAACGTCGCACCCCGGCCCACTCTAAAAGTTGCATAAACTGACAACATGTTTATGTAAATGCATTTAGTTGTACTATCCAGTCTGGAATACCCATTGTAAAGTCGGTTCAGCACGATTTATGCAAATAATGTAGCCTGGCAAAATAACAGTGGTCGTCTTTCTATTCAACAGTTTGATGGGTTCCATGTGAAAGGATTCCAGTTATAGTACATTTTTAAAAGTATATACGAGACATACAAAAAAAATTTAAAAAAGGAAGAAGACGCCAATCATTCCATTGTTTCCTGGTCACTACTGTACCTGTCTCTCCAGCTGCTTGATATTAAAGTATGGTAGGTCTGGATCTATCCTGGAGAAGGATTGGAAGCTTCCCTTTTCCTAGAGATGGGCACGTTTGGCTGTTTTTCATTTCGTTCGTGAACGACAAAATCGTTTTTTTCAATTGTTCAAAAAATGAATTTCGTTTGTTCTCATAATTATCGTTCGTTCAGAAAAGTTGTTTGTTTGTATTTAAAAAAAACGATAGTTTTTTTTATTTCTCTGAACCATCCAAGTCAGCCGTCCATCGTTAGTTTTTTTACTGAATGACACTATCGTTCGCATAGAATTTTGTTTGTTCTCAAAAATAATGTTCATTCACAAAAACGGTTCCCATCTCTACCTTCTCCAACCCTTCTCTTCCATCCTCTCTCATCTCATTCTTCCTTCTCCGCATATACTTGATAACCTGGAGAAATCTATAGAATAGCGAGAAGTAGTTGAACTCCTAAGTTGAACCATTTCTTCTAAATATATAGTTCAGCTACTTCTCAATATTGATTGATTCTGGTTTCAGGTTTCATTAATAATTTGGGTCGAGAAGAAAGTTTCCGCTCACCAACGAACAGAAATATTTGAATATTTTTGGTTTGTTTTTAGATTTATTAATAAAAGGATAACTGACAGAATTTTAACAAGAAAGAAAAACTAACGGGACTGCATATATTGTAAAGCTTAGGATATTTAAAACATTTGGTACACAAATAAAATACTAGGTATCCCACTAAACATTTTAGAGTAACGAGACAAAAGACGAAATTTGTATGATAAAATGTTTACTAATTATAGGCTTTCCATGCATATTGTGGTGTTTTGAATACTCACTTTGTACTTAGGTTATCAAAGTTCAATTACAATTAGCCTTTAAGTCGTCTCTGAGCTAGCTGTCAGTTTAGTGGTATACACTCTGTTTATAAAAATCTAAGATCCAATCTTTTATATATTTAAATATCAAAAAGGTTTAATTCAAAATTATAATGGTCGACGATTATATCAATACAATAAAGACGCTTTTTATTAATAATGCTTTGATCCCTAATAAGCATTTTGCAAATTACAAGTTTACAAGTAAACAACATTTGTTTACTTGTTTGTGTCTCTATTGCTTGAAAGAATGTTATAAAAATCAAAATTGAAACAGAAAGTCGTCTTCATTGTATTGCTATATATGACGACGACTGTGAGTAAAGAAATCAGAATTACCTGTATCCAGTGAACAATGTAGGAAATAAAAACAACAAGGGCAACTGAAAAATAAATTCCAAATTAGTTCTAGAATTTTGGGCTCATGCATGCAGGAGTCAAAGGTTGCGAGCAGACGCGACCATTTATTTTGAAGTACTAACATTGATATATGATGGGGAAATTGCTGTGGGGGAAACTTGTAAATTATTTTCGATTTAAGGGAACACACTTTTTTTTAAAAAATTTTTTAATTTTTTTAAAATTAATTTTAAAATAAAATAATTTCATATATATTTGGTTCTTATATATACAGGGTTTATACCCACACCGAATAATGTACTTAAATAGTTCTACCAAAACTGATATACCTAATGATTTGGCAAAAAATAAACAAGTTTACTACAGTTGCAGGAAAACAAAAAAGAAAATACCGCACAGTCGATTCTGAATTCAGATCCGATGAGAATAACCCTGTATTTAATGTTGTAGAAAAAAATCCAAAATTGCGAAGACGACATTTTGAAACGTTTTCCTCACCAAAAGTCCAGATCCCAATGACAAGGCTTCTGCCCCCATCAGCATAGACAGCTACACTTCCTGGAACAAAATTAAATGTCTCCACTTCACAGAAGTGGTGTCTACAGGGTGCCCCCATAAACATGAGAATTTAATGACGACTTCTATATCATCTTTATTGCATGTACAGGGTGTCCCAATAAACATGGGAATTCAGTGACGAATTTGATATCGTCTTTTTAACTAATTCTTTGATTTAGTTTAGTGATACCTACGGAGAAAGTTGTAATCTGTAAGAGTTTCGTCTGCTACAGTGAAACCCTTAATAATGAATACATCGAAAGAATTCATCAAATGTCGTATTCTTCAATTTCTGATAATGGAATATTGCAGATGTTTAGTTCTTTAATTAAATGATTATATGGAACTTTAAAACTGTTCCCGCATATTCATGGCTATTTATTTATTTTCGCAAATACTGAAATTTACGTAATATAGTATAAAACTCATTGAAAAATTGTCAAGACGACATTTGATAAATTCTTCCGATGTATTCGTTATTAAGGGTTTCATTGTATGTTCACATTTTGCTTGTTTATGTTTTGACTGCATACGGTTGTACTTTGTAAAACAAGAAAATTGCAGTATACAAACAAAGTAAACTTGTCTGTCTTCACTGTTCATCTTGCGGAGACATTATAGACACATCTTTACAGTCTTTTACTCTTTCCATAAAATAAACTCTAGCAGACATAATTCTATTATGGGTTTTGAAATTAGGTATTACAATGCTAATTCATAACAAGACGATATCCAATTCGTCACTAAATTCCAATGTTTTTTTGGGACACCCTGTAGGATTATTTTGTAAACGTTGTATTGAAACATCCTAGTTTAGTCTCGGAATTTCCAAAATGTGGTCTTTACTATTTTGTAACCTTCAAAGTTTACGGAGATATTTAGAAATGTTTCCAGATTTCAGTTAAATCAAAATCAACAAAAATGTTCAAATGTTTAATATTTCGGTCAATTTTAAAGATACAAAGAGGGTAGACCACAATTTGGAAAGCTTTTTTTGATGCAAATTATGTCGTTTGTCAATCTTATTATCTATTTATCTTTAATTTTACTATTCAACTATCTATTTTTAAACTTACTATTCAACTATCTATCTATCTTTTAACTAACTATTTAACTATCTATTTATCTGTAAACTAACTATTCAACTATCTGAAAATCAAAGACGATATTAAAGTCGTCTCTCAATTCCCATGTTTAATGGGATTTGGGACACCCTGTCCTTTAAAGAAAGTGTTCGCTTTAAAATCCATTTTCTTCTATCAATTCTAGATGTTTCATATTCACGTAGGTTATAAAAAGTGTTTAATTCTGTCAATAATTATAGTTTTTTTCAAAACATTTTCACAAAGAACTGCAATTAAAAACGATCAATTTTAAGAAAATATTTACTGCGGCAAAAGTTTAAACAGTTCTATGTAAATCTGTTATCCCATTCTATAAATAGAGGGGCGAGGGCCATTCAAAATTACGTCTACAGTCCATAGATTAATTAAAATAACAGATAGGACCCTAGATGTCATCTTTTCAAGATTTATGGATAAAACTCGTTTACAATAACCCTGAGGCAGAAGACAGGAGAAGTTTTGCGCAGTTGGCTTTGAATTGCAAGACAGAGAGAGTCTGTTCTTTGCCGACTGCGCACAACTCATCTGGTCTTCTGCCTCAGGGTTATTGTGAACGAGTTGAAAAGACGACATCTAGTGTCCTATCTGTTATTTCAATTAACCCTGTCATTTTACAGTTAGTCAGCTTGCTTACCATTTACTGCTAACTTCTCATAATTTACAATCACAGTTTTGTTTACTAAATAATTTTTTTTTAATTTTATTATCAAATCATTAAAAATTTATATTTTTTCCTACTTTATAATACAGGGTGTCCCACGAAACATGACAGTTGCTAAATAGTTTTGAATGTCGTCTTCCATACACTGTTTTAGATATTAAAGGCTGTTTACAGTTTATTTCGTTTAAAAAATCTTTTGCTCAAACATATTTTATTTTAAATAATATGACTCTCATGTAATATTTTTATCATTGTCTTTGGTATTAAACAAGTTAACAAATTATGGAAGAAGACATTCTAAACTATTTATCAACTGTCATGTTTCGTGGGACACCCTGTATATGAACTTCCCCTAACACGAAACAAAAATTAAAAGACGACATTATCGACGTATTTGGTCATCGAAAATTTTTAAAGGAAAAAAATGGGTTTGCCTCTCAAATTTTCCAGTATTTTTTAGTTTAAAAAATGTAAATCGACTAAGATGATTGAAACTTTTTCAAATTCCCTAGATATTTTGTTTAAGTAAATTGTTTGCACTTGACATTATCAAAGATTGACAAATAAATGCTGAGTAGATTGAAATAGATCTTTTGTTACTTAAAAAAGAAATTATTGGGGCATCCTATATCTCTACGTTTTTTTATTGTCTAACGATTTATTTGGATTTTTCTGCATATCTGTCTTAACATTGATTCTTAAATATTACGGTGATAGGCGATTATAGAATTAAGACGACTTTCGATTTTAATATTGATTTATATCAGGCATTTAAACAGCATGGATATTCAAAAACATGGAAACTTAAAGAGAATCTTTCAGTTTAACAAACTTCTCTTTAATTACTTGTAAACTTGTAATTCGAAAAAAGCTTGTTAACAACTAAAACTTAAATAAAACAGTTGTTTCATTATATTGATATAATTGTTTTTAAATGATATTTTTTATTGGATAATTTTCCTTTTTAAACTTCTGTTTTATTTAATTTGAGTGTACTTGCCTTGTTCTTCTAGATGAGGCATTCTTTCTTCTTAACTATAATTTCATGAAAATTTTTAATTCTTGCATTTTCATATGATACAGATTAATATCCAATCAAAAAGCTGGATGGACGTTAACAGTTGGAACAAAATTATAATTATTTTTGTAAAAAGTGTAAATATTGTTAACTTAATTGTGTTTAACTGAATGTATTTTTGTTTATACTTTTTTATTTACTTAAATACACCGTTCCTTATCTATGCATGTTGGTAAACTAAGCGTAGCCTATACTTTCTTATCTTTCAACATCCTTCACTGTTCAGGGACTGTTCTCTTTTTTTATGCTATTCTTATCTTTCATTTTCCTTCACGGGACGGGTTTTTTAATATTATTATTTTATATCTACGACTACAATTTTGCACATTTGGAAAACGAATAACAAAACGACGATACAATCATTTTCTTGAAAAAACGGTTGTTTTTCGACTTTTAATTAAAAAAAAATTTTAAGTAAGAAAAGTTTATGAATGATGTCTTACATGGTTTTTTTATCGAGCAAAATGATCTTAATGTTTTCTGACAAAAGGTTTTTCTGATCTTAGAGGTTTTCCACCAAAAACTGTTTTTTTTTTATAAAAAAGGTTACATAACTTTAGCTAGGTATTTTTTTAAAAACTACTTAGTAAGAAGTACCGATGCCCTTTAGGTCTGGTTCCTCACCTTGATCATATTTCTGTAATTTTTTTTATTTTGTTTAAAGAGAATACATCTAAGAAAACAATCGTTTTTCAGAAAAGTAAAAACGATCTATCCCTACCTCCTTACCACCCCTCCCCCTTCCCATCCCTTCCTTCAATCCCTTCCTTCCTATCCCTTCCCATCTCTTCCCATCCCTTCCCATCCCTTCCCATCCCTTCCCATTAGTTAACACTTAATTCCATTTTTATGACACTATTTCGAAAATAAAAAAGTATGTAACATACTTTGAATTAATCAGAAACTCCCCCTAGCCTTCTAGCTGCTGCGTAGGATTCATAGACTAAGACGACTTTCATAGCCGCCACAGTAGTCCCCCCAGAAGGAACGGCGGAGAAATGGCGGAGCAGATCCTTCTATCTCTTGAAGACCTGTAAGGATTCCGTCGTGCAGGTACAGGTGGCGGAAGAACTTGGGGAACGAGCTTGAACCTAAATTTCTTGTGTGATTTAGTGGAGGAGGACGGCGGGGGATCTGAAGAACTAGCCACTGGACTACGTCTGGGTCTTCCTCTAGGCGGAGGAAGCGTGGGAGTAATAGGAGCATCACTGAACACAGGCTTCATGCGATCTAAGGAGACTACATCCTGCTTAGAATCAATCTGAAGGCGGAAGTATTTGCTCTGCCTATCTATTACCAGGTAAGGGCCTCGATAACGTGGTGCCAGGGACGATATAACTGCATCCTCACGAAAACCACGTATTTTGCTGTCAAGAGAGCTGAAGGGAGTTGAACCGGAGAAACAGGACGAACATGATGAGGCGGAGGAACGTCAAAACCATCAATAGCTCTGTTAACTTTCCTGAGGAAGGCATCAGGAAGTAGTTCAGGAACATCCACGAGTTCTCCAGGTAAGGTTAAAGGAGAACCGTAAACAGCCTCAGAGGCCAGTATCATCCTTCGGAGTAGCTCTCAAACCCAAGAGAACTAGAGGAAGATGAGAAAACCAATCTGAACCTGCTAACCTATGGAACCTTTCAACCATTCCGTTACTTTGAGGATATATCAAATTGTAATATAATAAATAAATAATATAATACTAACTCTACCACATTTTTAGTATTAATTAATTATGAATAAATTAAATAATAATTTGTAGAAAAACAAAAATCCCCCTTTTCATAAATTGTTAGCTGTACGTTGCTTAGCTGAACCTGATCTAGATATCAGGTTTTACTTCATTTAAAAATATGATGAGTTAGAAAGATGGAGTGCTTGGATGGAGGAGTAAGAAAGATGGTGTGTTTGGATGGATGAGTTAGAAAGATGGTGTGTTTGGATGGATGAGTTAGAAAGATGGCGTGCTTGGATGGATGAGTTAGAAAGATGGTGTGATTGAATGGATAAGTTAGAAAGATGGAGTGCATGGATGGATGAGATAGAAAGATGAAGTGCTTGGATGGATAAGTTAGAAATATGGTGTGTTTGGATAGAAGAGTTAGAAAGATGGTGTGTTTGGATAGAAGAGCTAGAGAGACGGTGTGTTTGGATGAATGAGATAGAAAGATGATGTGTTTGGATGGATAAGTTAGAAAGATGGTGTGTTTGGATGGATGAGTTAGAAAGATGGTGTGTTTGGATAGATAAGTTAGAAAGATGGTGTGTTTGGATGGATAAGTTAGAAAGATGCTGTTTGGCATGTATGAGTTAGAGAGATAGAGTGTTTGAATGGATAAGTTAGAAAGATGATGTGTTTGGATAAACGAGTTAGAAAGATGGTGTGTTTGGATGGCTGAGTTAGAAAGATGGTGTGTTTGGATGGATAAGTTAGAAAGATGGTGTGTTTGGATAGATAAGTAAGAAAGATGGTGTGTTTGGATGGATAAGTTAGAAAGATGGTGTGTTTGGATGAATAAGTTAGAAAGATGGTGTGTTTGGATGGATAAGTTAGAAAGATGGTGTGTTTGGATGGATAAGTTAGAAATAAAATAAATTTATATTTCTAAAGGTAAGAGTGTAAACTTAAATAAAGGTTTATAAAAGGATACAAAAAGCTTCTTTTATTAGATGAAGTTACACTGCACAATAAATTTCAAGCTATGTATTCTAATGATGAACTAAACATTAGAACTAGCATGTGCGCCTTTTTAACGCCTTTAATTCTACTTTCGTCCTAAATTATATGGACAATTTTAAAGTACTAAAGGGGGTTTGTTACCCTGGAAGAATATATCAGTATTCTACCAGTCTTGGGTAGAAAAGTTTCTATTTCGTCATATTTTAAATATTTTGGAATAATCCAGTATATTTATTCACTTCAAAGTACTTAATTTAGAGTGATAACCAGAAACATCTGAAATAGGAAGACGACTTGATTGCAATTTTTAAGTGTATTCTTGTCAACCATTAACATTAAGACCCCCCCCCCCGCAGTTTATGTAATGTCGTCTTCAACTTAAATGCTCCTCTCGGAGACAAGAATCCAAACCAAACAATTTCAGCCCGCCTTTCTTCCTTGTTCTCCGATGACGGAGTTAAAACGTTTATCAATTGTGAACAATTTAAAGAATTAGTGACTTTCATCAACATTTAATTGTCAATCTTTTCAGAAGTTTTAATGTATAAAAAGCGTCTTCGGACTTTTCGACAGATAGCCCCCGAATAGGAAAATAGATCGTAAGAATCTTTTCATTATAAATTTGCAAACCCTGTAATAATTATTTATCATCATTCATTTCGTTATTTTTTTTTTAGGAAATAAAGAGTTTTCTGCATTATCGATTTTGATTCGTGGGATATACCTTGTCTATCTGTTCATCGTCAGAATCTTGTTTCTTAGCGACAACAATTCTATTCTGGTCCTTGTGCATTATTTTAAATAAGTAAACAATCATTTAAGGTTACAACAAAAGAAAATAACCATGACTGAGATGAAGACCAATAAAATAATCCTAATTTCCTTGATTAAATACCGTTTTCTCGCCACTCTAAATTTCTGTTGTATATTGACTTGGAGATTAAAGTTGAAAATACCTCCGGAATTTTGATTATTTGGAAAATTTAGTTTTGCACATTTTGCAACGATGAAGATGGATAAGGAGTTAGTCTTGAAATCTGAGTCAAGTCCTAGAGAGCGGAAAAAACACAGGTTATGCAGAGAGGACAAGACGTGTTATCTTCGTTTTTATGTAAAATCTGTTCGTTTGAAACTTCCCCCTACCATATAACACAAATACCAAGCCAAACAATCAAAACCACGGTGAGCGGTGAAGATAATCACAGTCGACAGTTGATAGGTCACGTAGATCCAGGGTGCTACAGTTGATAGGTCACGTAGATCCAGGGTGCTATAGTTGATAGGTCACGTAGATCCATTGTTCTATAGTTGATAGGTCATGTAGATCCAGGGTGCTACAGTTGATAGGTCACGTAGATCCAGGGTACTACAGTTGATAGGTCACTTAAATCCAGGGTGCTACAGTTGGTAGGTCACGTAGATCCAGGGTGCTACAGTTGATAGGTCACGTAGATCCATTGTTCTACAGTTGATAGGTCACGTAGATCCAGGGTGCTACAGTTGATAGGTCACGTAGATCCAGGGTGCTACAGTTGATAGGTCACGTAGATCCAGGGTGGTATGAAAAGTTGTATAAATGTTTAATACTGAATCCAAGTATCCAAACACCTAGACCTTTTTGTTGCCATAAACATGTATATTTTAGAACAATTAACCACTTGTTTGATCTTAATTTTTACAGAAGTACTTGTCAAAATTCTCATTGATTTGTGCGTCACACTAGACTAACCAGAGCGAGATACGTTCAGTTTCTTCATCTCAAATTCATTTGCGTTACTTGTCAATAAGTAAAAAATCTTTAAACTTAGGAAGTTGTCTTGTTTTACTTATTTACTCAAAAGGCATCCGCCAAAAAAAAGCATAATAGAAAAAAAGAGAAAATCTATGTTTAATAATAGGTCAAGTTGTTGTCGAAAGTCATAGTTTGCTGGAAACATGGCGTCGAACTGTTAAATCCGCGTGGCGTGAGAGTTTGCAACCTATGGCTCACTGTGAGGGCACATCTTCTAAGAAAACGTACCTGCACGAGGCAATACAATCAAGATGTGATCCTTCATTTAAAGGGGCATGTCAGATTTACAAAAGTACCCGACACAAAACAAGTTTAGAGAGAACCCTTAATTGAAAATAATCCATTTTTAGCTGGGAAAAAAGCATATCTCAATTATCCTTGATCAGACAACTTGTATTCTATCTCAGTAATTGTATCTAGGATTCAAGCAACTAGTGGCCTATCTCTGTAATCTAGGACTCGGAAACTAGTGTCCTAACTCTGTAATCTAGGACTCAGACAAATAGTGTCTTATCTCTGTAATCTGTGGGAGAAATGTTCAAGTTTATTTTCTCTCTGAGTTCCTAGAATGGAATTATAATTAGACTGAACTCAGTTGGAAAACAATTGCAAGATTTACATAAACTTAGATTTATTAAATTAAAAAGAAATATGAATTTTGTTTTTATGAAAATTAAATAATTTCAAAAGTTTTTCAATCCTGTTTTCCTTCTTCTTGTAAACAATG